AATTGAACTTATTCCCTGTATATATTATTTGGTTATAATGTATCTTCTGTATCTTTCTCTGCAAGTGCTCTTGTTCTGCAATAAAACAAAACAAAACAAAACAAGTGGAAGCTTATAAGACTGTCTGTATAAATTTGTTGAAAGGTAAAATAAACATTAAAAACATATTCATTGAATATAATATCAGAGGTTGTGGTGCCTTGAAAGTCCTCGAATTAAGTCCATGTGACTACACAGAGGAAGTGTGATTTACACAACAGAGTTTATCTGTGTCTCCACCGGTTGCTTGTTATTTAGTCTGAGACTTCAGGGCAATGACAAGTTTGTTTATCTTTGATGTGAGAGAGATAACTTGATAAATAATGAAACAAAACTTGATACATGGCTGTTTCTGACAAATCCTGTGCAATGCATGTCAACAGGAAACCATCCATCAAGCAGTGTTGCCAATTTAGCAACTTTGTAGCTAGATTTAGCGACTTTCCCGCCCCTTTTGAGACTTGTTTCAAAAGTTTAGGGACTACTGGTGCGTTCAAGTCATGTCGGATAGATCGTATTTACGAGTTGAACGCACATGAACGCCACCACAAAGTCGTTATTACGAGTGGTAAACTCGAAATTTTCTTTAAGCCCCGAGTTTCCGAGTTGGGGGCGTCAATGAGAAACATGGCGGAATCGATGGATGCAGCGTCTGTAGTTGACAGTAAATTTTTGTTTAAATTGATAGTTTAGTGCAGGGTTTCTCAAATCTTGCCCTGGGGGTCCAGTGCGCTGCAGAGTTTAGCTCCAACCCTGATCAAACCTACCTGTGATTTTCTGATGATCCTGAAGACATTGATTAGCATGCTCAGGTGTGTTTGATTAGGGTTAGAGCTAAACTCTGCAGGAAAGTGGATCTCGTGGGCCAGATTTGAGGATCCCTGAACCGCAGTTAGTGTTGATGCAGCATGTCAGGGAGACGCTGTGTGTGAGGGAGAGCGCGAGAGAGAGGGAGAGTGAGAGAGAGAGAGAGGGAGAGCGAGAAAGAGAGCGCGAGAGAGAGCGCGAGAGCGAGAGAGAGAGGGAGAGCGAGAGAGAGAGCGAGAGAGAGCGCGAGAGAATGAGCAAACTCAAGCTGAGCACACATCTCCTCCAGCCCCTCCGTCTTCTGAACAGCAATCTTCAATCTGGGAGGATTTTGATGAAAGAGTGGCTGATGCAGTCAGCATCAGCAACCCAACATCCACCGCAGTGGCCGAAATGAGAGGGTATCTTGCAGAGACCTTGATTCCAAGAACGGAAGACCCACTGGCTTGGTGGAAAGCAACCACTGATCTACATTCATCTTTATATAGATCAGTGAATTTGCCATTGTGATGTCATCTAGTGACATTTAGCTACCAGTTTTAGCTACTTTCAATTGAAAGCAGTTAGCAGTTTTATTTAGATTACCACCACTTTACATAACTCCAGATAATTGTATGTCTTCCAATGTATCAAGTAGTAGCTACTGGAATATCAAATTGGAGTGAAACATTATTCACTGGGACATTATTTAGTATTACACACAGTATAAACCCTCCGTCTGTACTGCAAGTGTTTCAAGTGTGAGTGAATGAAAAATTCTCAATTTTATAGCTTGGTAGGAACTTAAAACAGAAAACTAAATCTAAAAACAGCCATTAAAACTTAATATAAATATACCAAATGATGTGCTGCAGCATTTACAGCTCAAGTGAATCATTCTTGTCACTAACCTCGGATATGACTGTGCAAAGAAAAAGGGATGAGACGACACATCGGTTTTAGTTGAACAAGGAATGCGACTTTTATGATGAAAATGAATGCAGGAGCCAGTGGACTCTTAAATTACTATGTGGTCCACTGTTTCTGCCTGCCTTCGCACTGTATGCCTAGCATGTTTCACGGAAAGAACAGCTACAGAGCATTAAAATCACTGTAAATGTGCTGAAAATACATACTTGTAACACATACTTGTCATACATAAGAGTCATATGTAAGTAAAGGCACGAACGTTACAGAAACGCACAATTAACGGTCGAATGTACGATTTCTGATGATGGTGAAGGTACATGAATAATATTAATTGAGTCACGTGATACGACGCTCCGAGAGGTTGACGTCAGCGCGCAACATAGTTTCGTAGCTATTTTTTTTTTTTTTTTTATTATTTCAAAATAGTTTCATTACATACGTCAGATTAATAATGCAAAATGTGTATGAAGCAGTAATGGGAAAAAAACGAAGCTTTTCGAAACTTTGAGTCACTGAATCACTCCTGCTGGTCAAAACGGTGTAAATGCAACGCCCGCACATGTATAATAATATCGAAACATTCCTTACAGTGTAGTAAAAGTATTATAATTATATTTATACACGCTTATATTTATATGGTTTAGCATCATTAGGTTGTCATCATTAAAGCAATATTTGATTTACTGTTTCAGATCTTGATCATACTGCAGATGTCCAGTAAGTATTTGCCTGTGACTGACTAGTACACTGTTACTTAAATCAAAGGCAAAAATAACTCAATAAATCAGAAGGTGGAACACTTGTCAATTATGTACACACAGAGTTTCAGCATTTACAAAAATTCTACACAGTGGTACAGAACCGAACTGAACAACTAGTTGTTAATGATGTATTTAAACATGCATCAGAGATGTGTCTCTCTTTTGTATGAAGTATCAAGAAAATCGCAGGAATATAAGCTTTCACTTATTTGTGTAGCCAGATCTTGCTAGAAAAAAATTAAAAACACTAAAATAAATAACAGTCACAATGAATAAACAAAATAAATCCAAATGCTATATATTGAAAATAATAACAAAATACCCACCTACATTAATAAATACATAAACCTGATTGCTTTATGAGCCATTATCAATCAACAAGCCCAAAGAAGCTTATAATGAAAAGACATGGCAACACAAGAGCATGCTCTGAAGCAGCCTTCCAAACATAGAACACAATGTGTCTTTTAACGGTGGTTTAGTTACAATTTCAGAAAATAACAAGTCTTTGGTTGCTGTAATAATGCTTTGGTCAAAAATAGCTGGAAAAAAAATACGAGGCCACAGTGTTAGTCATGGCAATTTTTGGAGTGAGTCATGTTTTCTACACATGGAATGATCATTTCAGTTGTTTAGACCCGTATTTTATTTATTTATTTAGTCATTTAGCAGACGCTTTTATCCAAAGCGACTTACAAATGAGGACAATAAAAGCAGTCAAAACTAACAAAAGAGCAACAAGACAAGTCTCGGTTAGCCTAACGCAGTACACGTAGCAAGGTGTATATATATATATATATATATTACACACACACAATGAACAGAGGTGTGACATGCGTTCTTTTCGGTTCATTAAAGATTAATCTTGCAGCGGCATTTTGGATTAGTTGTAGAGGTTTGATAGAAGTGGCTGGAAGACCTGCCGAGAGAGCATTGCAATAGTCCAGCCTGGATTTAAATTCAGTTATCATTTCTAAACACTATCACACATCTTATATCTTAATAGCTTTGAGGTCTGACCTAATTTTAAAGGTTGCAAGTTGTCTATACAGTCTAGAAATAATATAATTACATAAATGAAGTAGATTCTGTCTTCAGTAACGCATCTTCATGTTGCTGCAAAGTAGTTTAGTTTAGTTTAACTTTATTGTCTGTCCAGATTTCCTGAACAGAAATTCATCTTTGACACTGGCATAGAAAATACATCCTAACAAATAATACTACACATTCACATATCACATAAAAATAAAAATAAAAATAAAATTAATACAATACAATATATATGTATGCCCACACATATGCATACACGTGTAAACACACCTACCCAGAAATATACCTCATGATAATACCTCAATTAAGAATTTGGTTTAAAACAGTCACCGCCAATGGTACAAATGATCTTTTATCTGTAGATATTTTATAGTATGACATGCTTGGGAGTGGCAGACAATAAAATGGACATTTAAAGCTATTACATGACTTCATATGACCAAAATATATTGCAAGAATTATAAAAACCACATTTATAGAGCTTAATTATTCTGTTTGTCTTTTATTCAGCACAACATCGAAAACTGAAAGAACTGTTTTTGCTATTCAACAGTAAAAATGACATGAAGAGTTTTTTTTTTACATTAACTTTACTGGTAATATTATTGACTCCACCATTAATTGCTTGTTTGTCAATTTAGACCAGTGGTTTTCAACCAGGCAAACTTCCAGAGGTGCCTCAATAAGTTTTAAATGATTAAAAAAATAGCTCTATTAACAATCTAAATTAAAAAGCACACAAAAAAAATAATAATACAACAACCATAAAAACTGACATCATACTTTGAGTTTGTTATACAAAGGAAGGGCTGTGGATTCAGAAAGCTTGAGAACCACTTCTTGTCACAAGTAACTAAATGTTGTCACGGCACGGTTAGGAAAAACACCGTGTAAACAAGGGTCTGGGTCCAAGTGCAGGTTTTATTCGACTGCAGGGAAAAACAAAATCAAAACCAAAACAGAAAACAAACAGAGCTAATGCCGAGTTCACACCGCACGATTTTAGCCCGATTTTTCACTCGCCGACAGGTTTTGCGAAATCGCCGACAAATGCCCGACATCGGAGGCAAATCGGTGCTCGTTCAGGCGAGTGACAATCATGCAGTGTGAACTATCAAAGACGTGATCTGAGGGAATCACCGATGTGTCGCCGACGCCCGTGAAATATTTGGCATGCTAAATATCTGGAGCTGTCGGCGATTCACAATCACGCTGTGTGAAATGAGTTCTGACTGAAAAACACATCGGCGATGACCTACAGCCAATGAGAGACCAAGATACAGGGCAG